TTGAAGATGCTTTCAAGTAGAAGTCACTGCTTTGCTAGACATGGTAGCACATGCCTGTAGTCCCAGCCTCTTGGGAGGATGAGGTGGGAGAATCGCTTGAGTCCAGGAATTGGAGACCAGCTTTGACAACATAGTGGGACCCAATCTCAAAAGAGAAAGTCACTCTCTTTTAAAACTTTCAGACTTCATTTCTGTCATTTCCGAAGAGAGTATTGCTTGGGAATGGTCTCTTCTTTTTTCCTCCGCCCCTCCTTTTTTTTTTTCCTCTCTCTCTTTTGCGCTTTTCTGTGTAACATCAGGAGTAGACTGAACCTGAGCCTAGTGAGAGAAAAGCCACATGAAGAGATGTGACAAATAGCTCAGGCTGGTTTTAAGGAGATGTCAGCTTTGTTTTTGGCTTAGCTCTGACCCTATGGAGGCACCAGCTTCTCATAGCATTTGATGAGTTATACCATCATCCTGCTAAGGTTTTTTGTTGTTTTTTTTTTTGAGATGGAGTCTTGCTCTGTCGCCAGGCTGGAGTGCAGTGGCACAATCTCGGCTCACTGCAACCTACACCTCCTGGGTTCAAGCGATTCTTCTGCCTCCCTGCTGAGTTTTTTATCCACATGGGTACATGCCAGGAACACTTCCTACCCAAATTCTTAGTCTTAGCCCCTGCAGGGTATGGGACATGGTCTGGGTTTCTGTCACACTGATACCTGACCAGGGCCTCTAACTCCTGCCAAACCATTCTAGGAAGACATTGGGGAAACAGGCCAGACAGCACAAGTCTGGGGCCCATCTGGGAACTTGGAGGTCCACAGGGACCAAGGGCTGCTCAATGGGGCCCTTAAAAACCTAAGAGCAATGTGATTGAGGAGTCTTGCAGACCAGCTCCAACAGCAAAGTGGTATAAAAATGTTATTTTATATGCCAATCTTTAGTCAGATAAGGAAGAACATACCAGTCCAAGGGTCCCCCGCCCTGCTCCCCCCCAGGCCCAGAGACCAAAGATTTGGACTTCAGAAAGCTTGTAGACAGGGACTTTTCAAAAATCTTAAATCAGTATGAGCCTATCTTTTGTACACAGTGCTTTGGCTGCTGCTGCTTTTGTTGTCATCATGACTGGAGGGGCACTTTGGAGGTTGGGCCAGGCAGGAGCTAGGAGGAACTCAGTGAAAAGTAATGCAGAAGAGAGAGAGGTGTCTGTATTACTTATTGAGACTCAAGGTTTCAGGGAGAAGGTAAAGATGGTTAAAGTTGGGACAGACTATTTTTTTCTGGGAGAAAGTAAAGAGGTTAAAGTTGTGGCATTACATGGCCCCCTTTTCCATGGGTGAGTGGGGAAAATTCTGCTCATCTCAACTTAGCATATGCTGTGGTCTGAAGAGCTTTTCCTGCCTTATTACATCTTGACAGCTTCCTGACTTCCCTTCAGGGACCAACTCCTAAAGTAGGTAGTCCAGATTCTAGAGGAGCAAATATTGTCTCCCATCTCCAGAAAGCATTATTCCACCAACATCTGATTCTCCTTAGACTTGGACAGACTTTTTCCCTCTGTCTCTTTTGCTGCAACTAAGTCCTGCCTTCTAGTCTCCTTTTGAGTCGACCAGACCCTGTGAGTTCTTCTGATCCTTCTCTGAGCAGCAACTGATGGTGTAGAATGGGGCAGTCTGGAGAGGCTCTGTAGCCTTTGGAGAAAGGCAAGAGTTGTTCTGCCAAATTCTCTTAGTGTCCTTATCTTTCTCTTATAGGCAGCCAACTTTGAAGGGTGATGAAAAGCCTGTGGCCAGTGTTCGTCCTGTACAGTCCACCCCCATCCCTATGATGCCCCGGCATGTCCCACTGGGAGGCAGTGTAAGCTCTGCCTCCAGCACAAATCCATCCATGAACTTTCCAATCAACTACTTGCAGCGTGCAGGAGTCCTTGTGCAGAAGGTGGTCACCACAACAGGTGGGAACTCCTAGGTTCTGTTACAGAGGTGCTGTCCCTTTTAAAATTACTTTGTTCATTTAGAAAATAATGTATTAAAGACCTTTTGTATTTTTGGCCTTACTATCTTGGCACTGTTGGTAAAAATAGGGAAGACAACAGTTGCTGGTCTTGAGGCATTTGGATTCTAGTGAAATATCTTAAGAATAACAATAAAGAACTAGGTTTTCTTGGATTTGGTGGGTGGTATAGACTCTGAGCACTGCAGAAATTGTGGAAATGTCACTGGAACTCAGGGTTGGTCTCAGGTTCTTACAGAGGTGTGAATATGCTGAGCCCTGCCTGACTGTACAGCCATCTGAGTATAATAGACAGCTGTCAACCTTTGCACATAATTAGAAGACCTGAATTGTCTCTTGCCTCTTCCTTTTCGAGTTTGATATAAATTGAGCATATGAACCCCATCCACTCCAGGATTCAGTATGATTAGGAAGGAAAACATTTTGTGATCCTGTTTTTATCTTGTTATTTAGCAATATTTATAATATATAAATTTAATTTTTTTTTTTTTTGGAGATGGAGTCTTGCTCAGGCAAGAGTACAGTGGCACCATCTTGGCTCACTGCAACTTCTGCCTCCGGGGCTCAAGCAATTCTCCCGCCTCAGCCTTCCAACTAGCTAGGATTACAGAAGTGCACCACCATGCCTAGCTAATTATTTTGTATTTTAGTAGAGATGGGATTTCACCATGTTGCCTAGGGTGGCTCAAGTGATTATCCTGCCTCAGCCTCCCAAGTAGCTGGGATTACAGGCATGCGCCACCATGCCCGAATAATTTTTTTTTTGTATTTTAGTACAGATGGGGTTTTACCATGTTGCCCAGGGTGGTTTTGAACTCCTGACCTCAGGCAATCTGCCCACCTTGGCCTCCCAAAATGCTGGGATTATAGGCGTGAGCCGCTGTACCCGGCCAATACATAAATTTTAATGAAAATATCTTAATTGATTTTTCTAAGTAAAAAATTTGAAACAAGTGGAATAAAGAGCCCCTTGTAATCCTATTATCTACTAATTCCTGAAAATACTCTTTCCCAGGTGTGGGATAATGCCAGCCAGGAAAAAGATGATGCCATTTTCGGAGCCTAAAGCGATGTGGAGCAGACATATGCAAATAGTTTGGGGAGGAGGGAAAAAAGACATAGAAACAACTATCTGAACTAAAACATTTTTCACACCAAAAACTATGAATTTCTAATTAAATCAAGGGAAATTGCTTGCGAAGATGATCAGCTCAGATTTCTGACAAGGTTCCTGTTTTCATAGCATTCTTTGTTTAGATGATTGTGAAAGACCCTGCTTGCTTCACCTTCCTTGGTTCTGGATCTCCGTCCCACTGAGAGGCTGTAGGGAAACCAATGAAGAACTGGGGTACATGTGGGACTTTGCAGTTTTTCCCCTCTCCTTCAGTCAGGCCCTGTTTAATCTAAATTTAAGATCTGTGTTTTTCCTAGATATTGTTATTCCTGGACTCAACAGCACCACAGATGTACAGGCAAGAATTAATGCTGGTGAGAGCATCCACATCATCCGTGGGACAAAAGGTGAGAACCTGACCAAGGACTTTCCCCCTGCCTTTGGTTGAGAGTGCTGAGCTGAGAAGAAGAATAAATGTATATGGCTTAAGCTAGACAGGGAATAGGAATCATCCCATTAGGATATCACATTTGGGAACTGAATTAGAAAATAGCATCTGTAGGAGCTTAGTGGAGTTGGGTTGAGCCCAATAGGATATTAGTCAGTGGTTTAAAAGAAGGAAATTAGGGTCCCTACATTACTGTATCCTGTTGTCATTTTTTTGAGAATCTTGGGACAAGTAGATACAAGGAGACCAAAATTGGAGGGAAAGAGCGGTGGAATGGGTTATAAGCCTACATATATTTTTTACCCACTTGCTTGAAGCAGGGTGGGGGTCCCCTGATAGGAAATATATTGTGTGGATGAATTACTCATGGGTTGCATGGTAGAATTTTTGCATGTGGTAATTTAAAAAGTTCACATCTGCCTCTGTCCTCCTTACAGAGGGATATGAGGTTGGTGGAATAAAAAATCTGGGCTAAACAGTGTTGAGACACAATCTAAGCTTGTTTTTCCCACCTCTTTTCTGTACCCACATCTAACCAAGCCTGTTTTATATATTAGCCTTTAAGCCCCATCATTGTGTGAGGCTCTTTGAGGTTTTTTATTCAGTAAGGAGACTTTGCTCTAGCCTCTATTGGGTTAGAGTACCTTTGAGGTTAGGGAAAAAGTGCCATGAAACAATCACAGAGAACACCATTCCCAGCCTCCTTACTGGAATCATCCTAGTCTAAACCCAGCCCCCTTTACTGCTGTCTTCCTAGTGTATAGCAGGGGTCAGCAAACTCTATGTCCCATGTGCCAAATCCAACCTGCTACCTGTTATAATACCTGCAAGATAAGAATGAGTTTTACATTTTCAATTGGTTGGGAAAAAAAAATCAAGAGTAATATTTTGTGACCTATGAAATTATATGAATTTTGCATTTCAGTGTCCATAAAGATTTATTGGAGCACAGTCATATCTAGCTATTTTTGTGTTATAGCAGCAGAATTGAGGAGTTACAACAGAGACCATATGACTTACAAAGCCCTTATAAAAGCTATCTGGTTCTTGTAAAAAAGTTTGCCAACCCCTGGCCTAAAGGCAGCACTGACATTCGAGGGGGTTGATCAAATGACATATCCAAGGCTGAAGAGAAGGTAGATTAGTGCCTTGTGGGAATAGAATGCAGGTGTTTTTTTTTTTTTTTTT